CACCCCGAACCAACCGACTCCCCGCTTCCCAGCCCCAAAGGTATCAACTGACAAAGGACAAATATTTTCATTGCTAACAAGACCCGAAGCAAACGTCTTTATGGCCAGAGTTTTCATACCAAATAGACCGGTTGAAAAGAGTCGCAAAAATTATTTCACCTTCAAGAGAAATTCTCGGATAACTGAACGCCCCCCAAAGCGAAAGAAAAATAAAACCCTTCTCCGTTCATTCAACATTTATTGAGAGAATCCAACGACAGAGAGACAGACGAGGGCAGGCAGGCAGGCAGGCAGGCAGACGGAGAGACAGACAGAACAGCAGACAGACGGGCAGACACTTCTGTTTGGTTTTGGCCCCCCCACCTCCCCACCTTCCTGGTGACTGGTCGACGACTCCTTGTTGCTGGTTGCTGGTCAAAGAGGTGGCCATTAAATATTTTATTATTACATTTTCTAATAGTTGGTAAAAAGAAAAATATATAGAAAAGAAAGTAAACCATAAAATGTCGCAATACGAGTTCGGGGTAGTAGAATTTAATTTATCAAACTTCTGCTACGATGCACATGGAAGCAGACATTGAGAGAGCGAGAGCGAGAGAGACAGAGAAGGAGAGGGGAGGGGAGGGGAGGACATAGGGACAAAGGACGCCAGGCCAGAATGGTTAGAATGGTTAGAAAGAGACCGAACGACACTGCACGGAAACCGGAAGAAGGGAGCAAATTTTGTGCCTGCACTTCCGCTTAGAGTCGCATTTGTGGACCGTGATGGGGCACCAGCCCATTGTAGTGGGAGTGGGAGGAGGTTTCAATGCGAGGCAGGGAGGGAGCGAGGTGGTTGCGGTGTGTGTGTGTGTGTGTTTTAGTTATTTATAATGCAACAGACCAACCAGACAAACTATTATACGAGTACTCTCATGTACAAGTTTATTAGCCCGCCGTAATTTATGGCCTGCGCATCGTGATACTCGCATGTACGAGTATTACAGGATTACAATTCTAGAGTTTTACGAGAGTACAACACACGCTTAGGCTGCACTCCGCGCTGGCTGCGACTCTGTTCTATTTTTATGCTGGAAAAACTGCCACAATGTGCGGATTTGGCCAGACGGAAGAGACCATTTGTGGGATACGGTGAGCCGCTATTCAGTCTGTGGAAAATGGATATGAAACGACAGATATCGAATAACATTGTGAAGTATTCAATGGGGAGATACTCTCATTAGGATGTACCTACCGAGGTAACCCCCAGCAAAGGTTATCCCCAACTCACCTAGGGAAACATTTAGGATATCTATCCCATTGATGTTTATTCTCTTTGGCCTGCATTTGCCTCATTCCAAAGGAAACCTTAAAGATATTTTCATTGCTTTTCTCTGGCCGACAGCTGAGCGCTATTCAAGCAGCAAGCCACACAGCCACTGCCACTAATTAAAGCCAGGCCAAAAGGTATAAAAAAACACAGAGTCGCAACAGCCGCACGATTTGCTCTTCATCATGGAACCACTCTGCACTCTCCTCTGGTTTCTGGTTCCCTGCCTTCTCTGGGCCATCTCTTTGGCAAGTCTGAAACTAATGCACGCCAATTTTCAATACAGAAAATCGAACTTTGAAGTGGACGCCTCGTCTCGCGTTGCTTGATGGGCCACGGGCTGGGGCAGGGACAGGGGATCTGGGGAATCTACAGCCGGCACATGGCGTGCATTTCTACGAGTATTTTGCTTGGCCGAAAACTCTTGAAACTATTATCGAGGAGGCGATGGGCATGGAGCGGGCTGGAGCGAGTGGGGCTCTGGGAGGTTATTCCAAAGTGGACGAGGGCGTCACTGACACCGTCGACATCGAGAACAGAGCCGCCAGAGAACAGAGACGGGATGAAAGCGGGGGGGCCGGAAGCCCATTCAGCTCTCCTACGATGGCAACGAACGCGTTTTGTGCGTGTTGAAGCACGCAAGAAACACAAAAATATGAAAATATCGTTGCATACTTAACGGCGCCAGGGCTGAGCAGGGTGGCCGGAGAGGGATGGCAAGGCCTGTGCCCGGGCAGCACTTTACCACTTTTTATGCTCGGCGATAAATTAAAATTTTTATTAACATACCTTCTCCCCAGTGAAAGAGAGCGAGGAGTGGGAGCGGGTGGGTGGGCAGAAGGAGCAGCAAAGTCAGGGAGCATGCCGCGGGAACCAGGTCCAGAAAACGTCAACTTGTCCACCACTCAACAGATGGAGGGGGAGAGGAGGTGGCCAGTAGGTCCAGCTGCAAGTGGTGCTCTCTTTTATGACTTTCGCCAACGCACGCTAAAAATGACCCACCCAGCCAACCCACTGGCCAGGCGTACCTCTCCTCCACGTTGGAGCCACTACAATTATAATTTGTTGATGCAGGAACCCAAGGAAATTCATTTTTTTTCATCTCTTTAGAGGGAGGGGCGTTGTTGGGGCTGCATTATCTATGCATTATTGTTGTCTGCCTGCCTGGCCATTGGCCATTGGCCATCTGCCGACTGGCGACTGCCGTCTCAGCAGAAAATAATATTCTATTAAATTATGTATTCGTTTTTGTTAAACTTCTTTTGGAAGAGACTCGACAGAGTCTCAGCAAAGTCGTGTCCCAGAGATGGATGCAAATTGCAGCTGCCAGACGATAAATGCAGAGATGGGGTGGGGCGGGTGCTCGTACAATATTCAAATGGGGCTGAGATGGGATTACTTGTGCATGGGAATTTTGTGTGTGTGTGGCTTTAAGGCTTAAGCGAATAAAATACATAATTAGCTAAAGTTTAAGTAGAATGAAACATGATATATGAGTACTCCCCTATCGTGCATGCAACAATGGGAATCCTCTATGGTTTTTGTTTCAATATCAGAATCCCTTGCGAGTCCACATCTAAAATCCCATCAATTATTATTTGTTGTACAACAAAAAAGGTAACACAAATACAGAATGCAGAAAAAATAACCTGCACATTTAATTAAATATTAAATGAAACATTTATAATTCCGTAGTCGTGCTTAACCATGGACGCCAGTGCGGAATGCCCGTGTTGAGCCCCCCGTACCTAAAGGAATATCCTTCGAACGGCACGTAGGCAAACAGCCGCAACCCCCAACCCTTCCAACCCTTCGCCTGCCTGAATGTGTTCTGTGCGTTGGAATGCAAATATTTTCCACTATAATTGAAGCGCGACAAATGCGAATTGTGAGCGATGTGATTCTGATTCTGATTGTGATTGAGGGTGGGAGAATCCGATTCAGGGAGGGAATAGGATAGAGAATTGGGAGTGGGAGTGGGATTGGGAATGGGAATTGTGGAATGCCAATAGCGAAAATATGTACCACGTATTTAATGCACATGCAGAGTTCAATTATTCAATTTCGAAGACAAACAAAAAAAGGGATTTGTTAAATTCAAGCGAACAATTACAGAGAAAGGCAGAAAGGGAAATGGAAACACATTTAACAAAATTGTTTTTTAAATGGATGAAAAAACAGGAAACGGAGGCCCTGTCTTTGGGGTTCGAAGTTTGGGATACCCTTTCAAAGGTATCGATATATGTCAGACGAGATAGACGAGGCGATAGAATCGCAGATGGTAATTTCTCTGCGCTGCCAACATTGGCTTAAAATCATCATGCCCGCTGGAAGGGTGCAATTAATGTAAAACAAAATGAATGGCGTGATCATAATTGCCGTTGGACGTGGACGTAAAAAAAACAGGAGTAAAAAAAGAATATAGGATAATAATTATATCAGTAAATTGCAGTGGCAGACAGCGGCAACGGAATCGAACAATTGTCGCACATTAACCGCAGATGCGCTCATTCTGGCACGGGATTGAGATGGGGATTGAGATGTGAAATGGGAATGTACGAGTATATGGGCAGGGATAATGGGATGACGTTTGGGCTCGTGTCAGGGCTGTGCATGAGTTCATCGATCCCTTCCTCTCTGAATGACAATTTCAGTTCACTTGCCACGAACATTGAACATTCAGCATTGAACATGGGACAAGACAAAGGCAGCCGCAGGGATAATACTTCCTCGTTTATTCTTGCATAGTCCTGTAGTGTCCTATAGCCTTGTCCAGCCAACATTATCGTTTTCAATTTGTACAATTTATAGCCAACAAAGGCAGGAAATGAGAATGAAAATTGAAAATGGCATTAATGGCGGTTTTACATGCCGAACGAAGTTATTGTTAAACAGAATTATGCTATGAGGATGCGGATGCGGATGCGGATGCTGATGGACAATCGAAGTGTGGAGTTCGCTGCAATAAATGTGATGGGATGGGCCGCAGAGAATTAAATATTGAACAGCGAAAACCACTCAAGTGGAGCAGCAAAATGCCCCAGAAATTGTCATTTTATAGTGGATACTGAAATGTTTATGACAGACGTAGTTTTTTAATGTGGAATACTCAAAGGAGGATGGGAATGTGCATTTAAGTGGGAGAACATGAATGAGAGACCGTTAAAAATAGCAGGGAGCCATCACACCTCTGCAGACAACGTTATTCAAACACACACATATACTTCTGATGTACGGAGGTATCTGTAGCGTCGGTCCCCTCTTTCTCTCACAAAAGCTCCCTGTATCTTATCGTTTTCTTCAGAACCACAACAGAAATATTCTTCTAGCTGCTGCTATCTTATCTGTGGGTAACCAATTTATATATGAATCAAGATAATCAAACAGAGATATGTACGAGAATGTCTTCTGGTGTTTGTTTTTGGTCAGTTAGTCAGGTCTGAGTGTAGGCACTGAATTCATTCCCGTATTTCTATGGAACGGAATCATTGTATTTTAAACGAATTTCATTGACTAATATTCCACTTGACGCCCTTGCGGTTTCTTCAATAAGTTTGTGTAAATATTTGTGTTAGAACACAGAGAGAGGTGCTCTTCTTTAGCACTTTCCACACCAAAGCTGCCCCAACTCGACTTGTGTTCACTTCCTATTTCTATATAGACCAGCCTTTTGTCTTTGATATCCACTCACCAGACACAAATTTGATGAATTCGGTCGCTTCGCTGGGCGCAACGGATGTGTGTGGTGTATTGGTGTAGTTTGGTATTTGAATTGGCGAGCGCGCCAAAAAGTATGCAATGCACAAACTGGGAACTCGGATGTCTTGCGGGTCTGCGATTCGACGGTCGACTGCGGCGGCCCTCCAGTGTCGCTGCCTGCTGCCTGCTGCTTTCTGCTGTCTGCTGTCTGCTGACGGCGATGGCTGATGGCTGGTAATGTGATTAGTTGGCTCGTCTATCGATGGTTCTCGGAAGGTGGTTCTGTGTGCGAGGGCGAGTGTGTGCGGGTGAATTTTAATTTAATTATGTCGCCGCTGCCTCTCGGCGTTCGCGTTTCAATTACGAAAAGCGGCTCGCAGCGGAAGCGAGAGGCAGCCACTAAAGACACGCACCACCAAACAAAGAAAGCAACTAACCGACGGATGATGGTGCTCCTCCAAGCGTTGGCTAAGAACGCGGGCCGCCCTCACGAATGCGTCGAATGAATGCGAATGCGAATGTGGAATGCGAACGATGTGCCTGTCCCTCTGTCTGGCTCCAAGACTCCGGCTCCACTCTGGTCCTGCTGGAAGGCTGGCCGGCTGAAAAATGCAACTGCTGCCGCTGCCTGCGACAAGCGACTGCCTTGTGTTGCATACTCCAAAGGCCACAGCGGAACGAAACGGAATGGCCCGGAGTGAGTGTCTCGTGCTGCATATGCCAGGGCGCACGAACGAAACGGAATGGAACCCCACACGGAGTGACTTTCCGAGCGAACGACGAATGAGTGCAGCCTGCAGTTTGAGTGTCCCCGAACGGATTGGAATCCGGCGGCACGTATTCCCTGTGCCACACCTGTGTGGAAGGGCAGAGTGTGGCAGGCGCTGTTCCTTCTTTATCGGCATCGGAGAGGGCCAGCCGAAATTTTAATTGGCTTTGTCCAACTTGCGGCACACAATTCAATCGCTTCGCCCAATGGGGCTCATTAAATCGTATGGTAGAAGGGCAGTTAAAGACAGGTCGTGGCAGGGGGTTGGGAATTATATTAAAAAGGCATAAAGTTCTAATGATTGCTGCAGGCACACCACCCCTCCCCACCTCCCACTTGACCAACTTTCGGGGGTAGTTCCCGAAACATTTTCACTCGTTGGTTGCATGTCCTGTCCCTCACATGTCCCTTTAAGAGCCGCAAGCTGTCCCAACTCCCGGCCCCACTTGTGGTTAACCATCTGGCAGAACTGCCACTGTGGCCTTTATCTGTTATCTTTGCTTAGTGCTGGTGTATATAAATACATTTTATGAACATAAATATGAGCACGAGAGGTGTTGCTCCCATGGCAGGTATTCTACTGCATGTGCAGGGCATCTGCAGTCCTACTATTCCTCAACTTTCTCTCCTTGACTTTCTGCGCTTTGTACAATGATAACGCTTCGCAGAGATGTGTCGCTGTCTACTCCACCTGACGGGCGACACAGTGACACCGCTTGAGGGAGGACTAAGTACACGTTAGCGTTGGAAACTCCCTCCATCCACTATCCACCATCCGCCATCCTGCATCCGAAGCGGAATCCCCTGACATTGTCTGGCACTCGCTCCTCTGGCCCATATGCAGGTTGGATCCATTTACATTCAGCATAAACAGCAGACGGGACAATAAAGGCTGCACACGCACTGCAATATGCAACAGTTGCAGACACGCAGACTGCGATGGGACGCACATTTGTAAGTAGTGCTGTAATCTATCCGTAAAAGTTGCTTCCGCTCTGCATTTTATATGCTTAACGCATCGTTTGGTCCGCACACAAATTGAGTTTCAGTGTTGTTGCAGGTCCTGCAGTCTGCAGCTGCTGCCGCTGCTGCTGCTGCTGTCTGAATGGATGAAATATTCCACTGGCAGCATTGATTGAGAATGCCGTTTGACATCATCCTTTATCACTCATCCAATTTTATCCATCTCTGTCGCTTTCACATCCATTTCGGTGGCTCTAAGCGAACAAGAGAAACGAGCCAATTAAAACTTTTGACCGGGAAACTTAATTAGGAAAATTCTCGAAATTATGCAATTGTCATAAGTACTCGGGGGCAACCGCTACCAGAAACGAGCAGATAGACAGAGAACTGGAAGGAGAAAGAATGGAAAACTATCAACTGCAGCGCTTGCGGTGCGTATTATATTCACATGCCCCGCACAGGATGTGCTGCTGTCCACGTTCCGTGCAGAAGCCGAAGCCGAAGCCCCCCAAATGCTGGACGAGCATGACAAAAATGCTTTTGATTTGTGTCCTATTCACACAGACGCACATGGGGGCCCACACGGCTCCGAGGCTTATTAGAATTGTGTGTGGAATTGTGTGCGAGTGGGGGCGTCCGTCCGTCCGTCCTGGAGGCAAAGTGCAAGTGGCAAGATAGATAGGCAAACAGAACGAACTGCCACAGAATGCAATTTATGCGTGTACTGTGGTGGCGCCGGGTTGAGCGCGGGGCCAGCAGCCTAATAGGATTGTGGCTGTAATTTTTGGAGCCCGCTTCGCATTTCAATCTTGAAATATGCACCGAGTTTGGCTGCACGATGCTAATATTTCAGCCTGAAAAGGACAGGTGTGAATAAATGGGTATGCAATACATGCACTACGCACTTATGAGGCTATAAACAGTTTAGATATATTCAATTTCCATTTATCAATGTGTAAAAGCACAAAAACAATTTAAAATATCAAAGTATTTCTTAGTTTTGTTGCGATCACTGCAGTAGAGTAGCCAGATCGTTGAAAAATGGTCTGCGAACGCTGCCACTCCTGATAAATATCGAATGACCACAAATGCTTATCGATATACTCTGGATTTTTCTATTCTACTTTTGGTATATACCAACAGGGTGACCGCTTATGGTATTTTAAATACTTTTTTATGCGATAATTGAGCAAAAAGTTGAGTAAAAAATACGCAACGACTGTAGCTCGATACTATCATGATAGTCGCAAAACCGTCGATAGTAGAGTCTAGCAGTAAAATATCGATACTATCGATAGTGCCCTCGATGGTTTGACACCTCTACCGACAACAATAAATGCGCGAAAAACTCGAAAAAACGACGCTTGCTTGTACAAAACAGTGAAAATCATTCAGAAAATTCAGAAAACTAACAGACTTGAATAAATTTGTATTTTAATATAATAAGCTACAAAGATGCCACGCACCAAGGTACCAAAGAACTCGAAGCGCAACCGCGAGGTGGCCAATCGCGAGGAGAAGGTCCGCTTGTTCGAATTAAAGATGGACTCTCGCCTGATGAGCATCGACACTCTGGAGACCAAGTTCATAGGCGAAGTGGACAACAAAGTGATGTCGGTGCTGTCCGTGATGCAGACGGAGCTGCGCGACATGAAAATGTCCGAAATCCTGCATTTGTTCGAGGAGCTGAACCGTTTTGGCGAGTTCAAGGCCAGCGATCAGACACAGATGATAGCATCCATGTCGGCAAGCAACAACACCACGGGCGGCCACGGAGTGGTCCCGGGCAGCGGCGGCAGCCGCAACGACGAAGGTCAGTCCTAAACGATAATTATCTCCATTTTGTATTGCATTATGTCCTATCGGGTGCGCGGTTCTCTAACTTTAATTTGCTTTCTAACATTTCATCACACACTCATTCCATTGCACGCATAATGCACCACCACCACCATCTTGTGCCGGTCACTGTATCTAGGCTACCTTACAGAGGACAGCACCCTGGGAGCCAGCGGCGGCAGCCTTCTGGCCGTCTCCACAGCTTCCATGCTGCGATCGGCCAGAGCCATGCGGACGCCTGGCCCCCTACACTCGGCCAGGGCCCGTCGCGCCCGCCGCAGTCGCTCGGCCTGCGGGGAGCTGAGTGTCATCCATTCGGCCAAGGCCGTCTCTAGCAGCAGCACTAATGCGAACCGGGTGTCTCGCAGCAAGATGCGCACTCCGATGGCCTCGCGGCCCAAGGCATTCAGTGCCGATCGCACTCCCCTCAGTCTGCAGAAGAGTCGCACGTCGTCCCCCACTTCGCCGCCAATGGCCTTCCTGCGCTACCCCAAGCCTGGCGAGGTGGCTCTGTCCAAATTCGGCAGTCCCATGGTGGCCCAAGTGTGAGTATTGACATTGGACACGTTCGAAACAGAATCGCAATGGATAACATATTCTCCATAGAATTCCGGATAAGTTTGCCAATGTGAACATACCCATTCGGAATGGCGTCCTGAGCTTGCGCCCCAAGAAACTAGACGCAGGCGAAGTCGTATCGAACCTGCTGGATAATATCGACGAAGACACCCTGAACCAGATCAGAACGCTGCACGCCAACTTGCAAATGATTGTGAGCAAGGCCAGCCAGACGGGCTTGAAGTAGTGGCCCCCCATTCTAAATCACATCTAGCTGTAATCAAATATCACCTATTTTAATATGTTTCGTTTAAGTTCAGTTCGCAAATTATGTACTAGTTATTTCTTATTTTACGCCGTATTCCATATTGAAATCAATACAAGTTCAAATTTATGTTCATCCAAGTAGCCCGGGAATTATTGTATTCGGTAGAGTTATTGTAACTTGTAAAATAATTCATAAGTCAATCGACAGTAGAGAAAGATGCCTCGCACCCGAATTGTGGCACGTCGTCAGGCGCAGCGCAAGATAGCTGACCAAGAGGAGAAGGTGCGCCTGGCTAATATCAAGGCCGAAGCCGCACTGGAGAAGATAGATGAGTTTGAGAAGCGCGTCAAGCAGCAGGTGGACACCCAAATAAAGCTAATTCACGCCCGGACTGATAAGCATTTGCTGAAAATGAAATGGTCTGAGTTTGTGGATCTGAAGCTGAAATATTTCACCGACTACAAGTGGAAGGGTGAGTGAATGCAAATACTTGCTGGTAATACCTTAGCCTCACTTATCACATTTATCCTCTGCAGTTCCCGAGCCACCAGGCAGCCGAGTACGCAGCAACTCGATCAGCAGCGATCGCGGACGATCCCGCACTCCCCAGCTCTCCCAGCTGCCGCGCCCAATCGTACATTCCTTGGACAGAGGACATTTGATGAGTGGAGCAACCCCCCAAAAAGTTCCACCCATGACCTTCGTACGTTGGCCGCGCGCCGGCGAGTTGGTGCTGTCCAGCGGCGGCAGCCCGCTGGCTATCCAGGCTCCACAGCGGGAGAACTGTGCCGATGTGCACATACCCACCAAGAAGGGCGTGATCACAGTGAAGCCCCTTAAAATCGAGCAGGTGACCCGGGAGGTGCTCATGCAACTGGACGCGAATACACTCAACCAAGTGAAGACTTTGAAGGCTAATCTGGGAGTAATTGTGGATATGGCCACCAAAATGGGCAAGATGTAGAATGGATGGCTGGAGATCGGAATTAACAATGACAGGTAGCTACATTTTACGCTTATTTCGATAATATTTTATTTAGTCTTTTTAATTTTCTCATTTTCAATGGTTTTGTTCAGTTGTTAAACATTAAGTGAACGTGTGTCTGTTGTTCTTGTTGCCGTTTGTTTGTTTGTTTCTGTTCGCTTGCGTTGGTTGTATAATTAATTAATAAATTTAATTACCTTTATATAATATATATATATAGATATATGTATATATATACATATATATCGATTTTTAAGTACAAACATAGCGTACAGAAGTTCCGTTTTGTCTCGACTAATTTTTAAATTTAATTATTTAAACATTTTGCTATTGTGTTGCATGTGTGTATCTGTGTGTCCGTGAGTGCGAATATTCCCTCGTACTTGTGTATGTATTTTGTTGAATTAAATTAATTTATTGGTATTCTTTTAAATGTAAGTTCAATCGAAACTCCCCTTGGGTTTCCTTTTCCATGAATTGTTTGGATTCAAAAGATGTCTGCTCTTATACGAAAATTACATTTACACATATACAATGTTAAATTTAAAATTATCATTAATTCATTAATTAGTGTGTGTTTAGTGTGGAATTTAGCATTTACTTCTTCTCTTCCTTTCCCTTCGGTTTCCCTTCCTACTCGTACATAAGGTGAAAATTCATATCATATCCAAGTTGTAGTGAGTGAAGGGCGTGTCATATACATCCATACATACATACTTAGTCATAAGTTACATAAAAATACAATACATAGCAAAAAGGTACATATATAGAGACTTAAAATATGCTTTTTTTCTCTTTACATTACTGAATTATACCATACAATTTGTAGAGACATAGACAATCATCATATAAACAGTGACAGGGACAGTGAACGAACAGGTGACGGGTGACAACAACATAACACTTAGTTTTTCTCATTTTGTAACATTCATTATGGTTTCTCGTATGTGGAGTAAATATTCTGTATGGATGGGTTTTCGTTTTATAAATGTTTCAAGAATATAAATGATTCAGGGTAGTCCACAGTCGCGCCAATCTATTAAACGCGTATAACTAAATACATATAAAAATGTTTCATAATAATCCATTTTCAATTATTTTTCTTTACAGTCTGCGCCCTGGATCTCGACTCCGGACACCCCCATAACGAATAAACAATACCCAACAAAGGCGTATGTGAAGAATGAGTGGATAATACATATTCCTAAGTATTAAATAATCTTCAATAGTTAAAGAATAGAGAATTCATATGTGACAATTTGAACTTAAGTTTGTTTGCTTCACGAACTATGCGTAATCAAACCTTCAACCGGCTTCTAACCTAATCAATAATCAGTTTCGATCCTACACACGTTCCGTGAACGCATCTAACTACGCTACTCCAGCCTCCACCAACCTTACTAAACTTGACCTTGACTACTTGAAAAATTGTTTTCTCACTTTTTTTCTTGGGTTCATCGTAGGCCTATTTCGTCGCACGTTTTTCGGTCTTTCAACTCATTTCCTTTTTTTTTTAACACAGCCAATCAACAAAGCCTTATGCTCCTTCTCAACTAACGTTTTTCGTTCCATTTTTTCCTGTACAGAATAATGAATAAATGATATAAAAAAAACCAATGAATTTCTGTGATCATACGTATGAGATAATGTAACTGCTTTTGTTATGTTTTCTATGTTGTATTGCTCTCGGTTCTGTTATGTTATGGTTCATGTTGCGTTCGTACAAATTTCTAATCTTTTTATACAAAATTGTGCTATTTTTGCTATTTGGTTTACAACTAATTTTGTATTCTGTTGCTTTAGAATTTGTTATAACTTTTTAAATGCTAGTTAATATATTTGTTTTGTATTTCGTTATCCTTATGTTTGGGCACTACTCATTGCGGTTCAGGGCATCTTTGTATTTTGTATTTCGTAAATAGTATTTTATTTGTAATATTAAGTTTTTAACAAATCTTTGTAGGCATTATGCACGGGTACAGGGCGTTGCATTATTTGTTTTGTATCTTTTCTTTCGGTTATAATCCTCTTTCATCAGTGTGTGATTTTGGTACAAATTTTATGGTACTAGGTTGCATAAAAAGGAAATAAATTCATAAGTAAGTATGACTGTACAATAAAAAGGAGTAAGTATGTAGGTAAGTACGCTACAGTCTCGATTTTGAGATAGCCACTACGCAGATTTGCATCTGTTGTAGAAACATCAGAAGGGCCGAGCTGAGGTTCTTGCTCAGGACATGTAGGTCTTGTCGCAAAAGATCGGGGAACCCAGAAATGTCCAAGTCGGACAAGAAATAGCCAAGCTATAACATTAAAAAAGGCAATATCCTTATTGTCCTTGATGCCAAACGTAAAACGACATAGATTTTTGTATTAAGGTTTAAAAATAGACATAAATAAATAGAAAATATATCGAGAAAATTCTTCCGTTCTTGACCGGTCTCTCGGGGGGGGGGCGCCACTGTACAAACAATATTTTTGGCTGTTTTTGTTGTTTTTTCCCTATTAAATGTTGAAAAAATACCATATGAAAATTACAAAAATTTTACTTGAAAAACAGAAAAAAAATACTGCAAAAAAAACGTACACCATAAAAACAAAAAAAAATACGTTTAGCATTTTTTTTTGGTTTTTTGGTTTGGCAAGACAAATATATTTAAAAAAAACCATGGCATACTTTTGGAGTTGGCTTCATTTAAAAAGTATAGCATACTTTCAGGCTGGTCTATTCGGCCTTCGCATTACAAAATTGCTTGTAACGGGCGTATCCATCCAGCCCTGAGGTCCTTGATGGATTCAAACAATAGAGGAGACCCTTCGGCTCACGAGGACATGCATCACGTCTAAATCGGACGAGAAATGACGGAGTTATACAAATTTAATCCTTAATCCTTGATGTCCTTGATGCGAAACTGATTGCAAACGATCGGAGAGATTCTCCTGATCACGAAAAGGTGTGGCGCGCCCAAATCGGTTGTCGATTAGCCGAGATACAGCGTCACAAAAAAAATACTGGTTTTTTCTTTCCGAAGCTATATCTCGGCCAAATAGGGGCAGATCCTTGAAGGACCTACTTTTTCAGGATCGTGAGGATCCACACTATCGATCGGCATCCAAAAAAACGACATCGGAGGAATACTGGTTTTCGCAAAAATCATGATGTACCATCATCCTTTTTGCCAAAACCAGTATTTGCCGAATGTCCTTTTTTTTGATGCCACTGAGGAACCGAAAAACATTTTGCACAATTCCGATAAATGTCTAAAACATGTCCAGACGTATCCCGGCATCCTGTGATCAGAAAAATATCCAAAATTATCCCAATTCGAAAGAGTCCTTATTAAGGACGAAGGATACAAAATATTAAATTTTCTCTGAAATAAAAGGCCGATCTGCGCGTGTCACGCCTTTGCAGTATACCTTACCTTGACTTCGCCTGGCAGTAAGCCATACTTTTTTGAATAAATAAATACCCAAAAGTTCTTCAAAAACCTGCCTGTAATATTATTCGCTCAGGTATCATTTTTGGCACCTATGTAGGTGCTAAAAATCTAGAATCTCGCCGTTCTTTTAAAAAATCGGGGAAAATGAACCGTTCAATTTTAAACAGTTAAACAATTCAGAGGCTGCAAAAAGCGGGTACGAGTACGAGACTGTTGAAAAAATATCCTAGGAACTATTCGAGTTGAATGTTCGCTATGTACACTTAATTAGGGGTAACCTATTCGCTCCGAAGTGCTATGTAACTTAATGAATTTTATAGAACTTTACATGCACTTATGTAAGTAGGTATATGTATCTTTAAAAAAATGAATTTCGCTTTTCATTTACGTAAATATGTCTTGTCATAGTAAGTAAGATAGCGTTTAGAGGGTTTAAAGGGTTAAAGGTTTAAAGGGTCTTCCTCCACGAAGTTTATACCGTTTGTAAATATTCTGTATTTGTTTGTTTGTCAAATATATACGAATTATTTCATTATACTTTGTTAGGCTTATAAATTAATTAATTTCATTAAATGCTTAAATTCATTAATGCACTTTATATGTACTTTTCGTGTTGCTGTGTGAAATTTGCTATACTCTTATCCCATATAAATATATATTTATGTATATGCTGGTATATGTGAATAACTTGCATTAAAACTATACATATTTAGGTGTATATATATATAATATATAATGCTAAATGCAGTATACTTGTGTATATTTTGTTGATTTACTTTTTTCTTTTTTTTCTTTCCTGGTTTGAGGTTTTGTCAGTATCAAAAACTAAGGGAGAGCTGAAGGGAAGGCCAAAAATTGGCCGTAAATTGATTACCGTTTTTGCATTTCGATTTCGATTTTTAATTTAATTTCATTAAATGTAGCCTCTTAAAGACGAACCGAATCCTATGCTGTTAAGTCATCTATTTACGCGTGACAATTGAAATTTAGCTAGCAGCGTCTATAAAACTAATCTCTTAACTAGTGAATACTTAAATCTGAACCGTTTGCAATCTATTTACAATTCACGTTAGCTATGTATATAATTCGCGGATTTATTCGGTTATGGCTCAATACTCTTATAAATTTGTAATTATTATACGTTTTTTGAACTTAACGAGAGGTATTTCTATTTTCCCAAGTGTTAATATCGCCTTTTGTCCCTATACATATATGTATCGTATCGTATGTGTTTTATTCGTGTTGTTTGTCGTTGTTTTGGTGCACTTCTTTTCAGTGTTTTAATTTGCCAAAACAAAACAAAGATAACTAGAAGCAGAGGAGAAGAAAATAATATAATATAATAATTTACAATATGTGAATTTTTATTTAGGGCTTTGCAGTTTAAACAGTAATTTAATAAAAATATAAACTACATTTATATCAATAATATTTGTATAGCATTTGTTTCGTTTCTACTTCTTTTAAATAATATTTATAACGATTGAACCCAACTTAATAGACTTAATAGATTTAAACAAAATCAAAATCAATAAAAAATTACAAATAGAAAACGTGAAGCTTTTGCCTTTTGAATCGCCATCGCGCACAAAAGTGTTTCTTGAAATTGTGTCTCATATCCATACAACTCTGTATTAAATAATACATTTTACATATATATGTATATATATAGTATATAGTGTATGCATACTCGTACAAGCTAGTATAAAAATGGTTAAAATTACAAATTAGTTTAAACAAAACCTGTAAAATAGCCTTCACATGAAATTGCAACGCCGACTTGCTTTGCGCGCTTTGCTTTCTCGCTTTGATATAAAAGTATTTAAGAATAATTACAATTACAATTACAATTTTAAACGAGCATTAACTAAACTACGAATTAGAATTTAAGACGGCGCAACTTAGCAAACTGATACAAATATAGTGAAATATATACAGATATAGGGATTTTGTTTGTGTTCCTAGTCGCAAATCAAAAGGAGTTCCGTTGCAAGATTTTTTCAAAAATTTAAACATAAAGCAAAGCATTGGCATGCAACATATAAGCAACATTTTTAGTATATAAAATTTAACAAATTATCACACTGAAAAAAATTCAACACTAATTTTAAATATACAATTTCCATACGTACGTATACGTATTAGGTATTACGTATGCGTATGCGTGTGTGTGTGTTTGTGTGCTATATGTATGTGGTATGTCGTATATGGTATATGGTATATATGGGTCTCCATTCAATTTGTATACATTCTGTTATCGCTTGTCGTTAGAGTCTAGAGCCTAGCCAATGCCTCTCCACACATGTTACACCATATCATATAATATTTGTTTAAATATACATATATCAATTCAACAACATCTCGGAACGCTCTCCACTCATGCATTACTTATGCTTCTGCTTGGTTTTCTTTTACGTTATCTCTCCTTTGTATACATATATATGATAGCTTTAGCATAGACCTTAGCTTTATCTTTAAACGTAATAAATATCTTGTATCATATTTTTTGTGTGTGTTCCTTTTGCAGCTTTTTCCGTTTTTGCTTCTGTTTTTGTTTCTGTTTCTGTTTCCGTTTTGAAAATATTTAACTATAGCTTGTCTGGTATTTATGGTTTTGCAATTTCTTTTAGACGAGGTTCCCATTTTGCATTTTGCTTTACAATTAATATTTGCTAGTATTATAAAATAAATATATTTATGTATATATTTTTTAAATAGTGCAGCTAATAATTTTAAATTAGATTTACATACGGCGCCTTTCTTCTTCTTTCATTCTTTTGCTTTTCGCTAACTTGTCGTTTATTTAGAGCCATAAATGCGTGCGCCAGAGAAGTGGTTTGTTTTGTTTTTGATCCTTGGGTCGTGCCTTAGGCACCTTAGGGTCACCTCGTGGCACTGCTGGTAAAGAAGTCCGCTGTGCAGGAATACAAACGTTAAAATATATCCACAATTTTACAGCAAAGTAAATCGATTCACTTACGCGTCTCGAAGTTGAAGCCGAGCGTTTGATCCGGCGGCGTATTGAGCATAGAGTTGCTGACATTGCTGACGCCCGTGGGCGTGACATTGCCCATGGCATTTGTACTATTTGGGCCACCGACAATGCCGCCTCCGCCGCCGATCACTGGTCCCTGCTGCAGCGGACTCTGTGGCGTCTGGCCGCGCTGGGCCACAACTCCAGGCCCGCCGGCGCCGCCAGTGGCCGCCGCAGCCGCCTGCTGCCTCACACTGACCACCGCCCGAAGCTCCTGCTTAACGAAATCGGAATTGGCATTGCCTCCAGCCCCTGCGCCAACGCCACCGCCTCCTCCGTTTCCAGCTGAAAGAATCAAAGGGGAAGCAATGAGTGATCATGGAATCTGGCGTCTGGCGTCTGGGATCGGTGGGTGCTCGTTCCCACAACATACGAATTAAGCTAAGTTTAGTCACACTTTTTTCTTGATCATTTCTAGACATAAAACATAAATTAAACATAAATAAATACACAAACAGACAACAGAATACGACATGGAACATAAAAGTGGGAGGGCGCACACACAAGACTGGGAGGGTAGGGGTAGGGAAGCTGGTTGGGAGGGGTGTACGTAAATAAGTTCCTACAGCATCAACCAATGGAAATTCCTCTTGGATATTCAATTTACAGGTGATTACAGGTGGGGAGTCCCCTCTCGGATTACTCTCACTTTCGTGTCGCTTATTTAGTTTTACGGGGTTAATAATACATAGTACACCAACTGCTCATCGATGGGGAGGAAGGGGAGCATCGCCTAGGACTAGTCTCTAGATATTATATACATAGACAGATATACGCAGATCAAGCGACGTGGCTTGCGGCGGGCAGGTCGGGTGGGTTATATACAATGATGGAGGGAGATCGATCATACAGCCAGCAGTTATGCACGACAGATGGGGCAGATACTTATGGTTTACACGCAAATGTCTGGGTTATTGGGTGGATTGCACTGGATTACAGATGTGTTTCATTTTCGGTTTCTTTTTTGTATGTACAAGAATGTGTCGAACGGTTTTGGCGGTTGGATGTTCATGTTCCCAGAATTTTAGTTTTAGTTTCAGGTTTAATTTGCTTTACGATGCGTGGCAAATGGATCATAAAGCTATACGATATATACTCTGATATATACACACATATACATATATATAGGCATGGTGATTGTACAGCGAAATGGAGTTTCGATTGAGTGTGAGAGATTGAGAGGGAGATTGAGAGAGAGAGAGAGAGCACACGGGCTTACCGGTCTGCGCTCGACCATAGAAATCATTCGCCTGCTGCGGCTGCGGCTGCTGGGCCTGCCCATAGCCGGCCATTGCGGCGGCATAGTTGACATTGCCGCCACCTCCGCCAAGGCCAATGATGCCATTGCCTCCGCCACTGCCCATGCCGCCCACGCCCATCATGGCCGGATGCGGATGTGGATGCGGCGACATGCTCAGGCCGTTCATGAGCTGCTGCTGCTGCTGCTGTTGTTGTTGCTGCTGCTGTTGCTGTTGCTGCTGGTGTTGTTGCTGTTGCTGCTGCTGCTGTTGCTGGGAAGGATTGCCTGCAGCCGCATTATCTGTGTGGTGGCTGTGACTGTGGCTGCTGCTGTTTGAGGCCGTGCCCGGGGAGCAGCCGAAGCGTGGCGAGCCTGTTTTGGTTAAGCGTTGGTTTGGTTTGGCTTTGATTAAAACTAATCGAGATTAAAGTGTGTGTTTGTGTGTGTGTGTGTAGGTGTGTGTAGGTGTGTGTGTGAAGCTGTCTAGGTATGTGTGGATGTTTAGTATATGGATTAAGGGGGGCGCCTAACTGAACGATAAATGAACAACTCCCGAGCTAGTCCACAAAGAGTTATTTGCTTCTTTCTACATTTGCTTGAGAATTGATTGACAACTGGAAATAGTTTTTTTCCACTAGTTTTCTTTTCAATTTCTAATTGACTAATCTCTAATCTCTGGTTCTATGCTCATTCTGATCTGCTGATCGCGTCCGCAACCTCTGGTGGGGCTCTTCTTCCGTCTGGAGATCACTTACCTGGCAGATGCTGCGTGGCCTGCGGGACGCTGCCCTGGCGCTGGAGTCGCTGCAGCTGCTGCTGCTGCTGCTGGAACACGTTCACATTGTTGCCATACGGAGACTGGGGGCCGCCGAATCCGCCGACACCAGGTCCGCCGCTGCCATCGGGTGTCGTCGCACCTCCGACTCCGCCTCCGCCTCCGCCTCCCTGTCCCTGGAACGAGTTCTGGCGCTGCAGAGCCACCGCCGCTGCATTGCCCACGGGCCCGACCTGGGCGCCGGGAGAGTTGAGGCCGCGTCTCTGGTTCTGTTGGTATTGACGTGCATTATACGGACTGACGCCCTGCATCAGCGTCATGGAATGGCATTAGTTGTTGACCCTTCGGCGGTACTCGAGTCTCAGGACTTACCTGCAACTGCGCTATCAGCATGGGATTGTGCTGCTGCAGCGTTCGCCCCGCATTGCCAGAGGGCAACGGACCTCCCGGTCCGCCCCCTCCTCCACCGGTGGGCCACTGCTGCGGACTGTTTTGCATGCCCGGCGATTGCAGGCCCGAATTGGACCCAAACGGCGTGTTGGAGCGTCCCCCATCGCCCACCTGCTGCTGCTGCTGCTGCTGTTGTTGCTGCTGCTGCTGGTAGGCCAACTGCTGCACCTGGGCGTTGTTCTGTTGCTGCTGCTGCTGCTGCTGTTGGTTGAGCTGTTGCTGCTGCTGCGGCGACAAACGCTGGCCCGGCTGTGGAAACTGCGGCGCATAGCCTGAAGGGAGAGGAAAACACACACAAATTTGAGCAACCATTTCCGAGATTGGATAGCTAATCCCTGTACCTTGATTCGGCTGCGGACTGTAGGGTGTACTCCGTCCGGGACTCAATTGCTGCTGCATCAGTGCCTGGGCATAGCCCGGACTGAGCTGAGCGTCCGCGGGCAGATTGGTGCGCGAGAGGGAGACATTGGGTGCCACCGTGGTGTTCAGCAGCGAGCCAATGTTGTTGAGGCCCGCATTGATGCCAGCTGCAGCAAAAGAAACAAAGTTATTCGGTGTTATTCTGCAAGCGGAGGATATCGGACTCTGAGTACTCACTGGCATTCTCGGGGACCAGAAGCTGCTGCTTCTGTTGCTGCTGCAGCAGACGCTCCTTCAGCTGCTGCTGCTGCTGCATTTTGCGGAGCTGCTGCTGGGCGGGCAGCACAGCGCCGCCGGGCGTGGCGACGGCATTCATAGGGCCGCGGCCACGGGCAGGATACATGGGTGGCGGTCGCTGGAAGACCGGGTTGCGCATGGCGTCCAGTCGCTGCATGATGTGCTGCTGCTGCTGGTTCTGCTGCTGCTGCTGCTGCTGCTGGAGACTGAGCATGCCCGGATAGGCGGGCGGCTGCTGAAGGTGCTGCTGACGGTGCTGCTGCTGCTGCTGGGCCGCCACTTGGAGGGCCAAGAGCTGCTGCTGTTGTTGCTGCTGTTGCGCCGCCTGCTGCTGCTGCTGACTCATGAGGATGTGCTGGCCCAGGTCGTTGCCGAAGGCGGCGGACTCCACGTCGAGCATCAGCGACTTTTGGATATCGCTGATGGCGGAGGCCGCCGATGGGGCGTTCGTCACAATGGGCGTGTCGTCCGGGTAGTATTCCATGACGCTGTCCAGCAGCTTGGACAATTCCGTGTCGCCGTCGCCCAGAATGGCCGCCGCTGCCGCCGCCGCAGCCGCCGAGGTCGAGGCCGCTGTGGTAATTGAGGTAGATGCTGAGGTCGCCAGTTGTTGCAGTTGCAGCTGCTGCTGCTGCTGGAAGGCTAGCTGCGGGGGCTGGTGCGGCTGCTGGTGCGGCTGCTGGCTGAGGTAGACATCGTTTGGCTGCGACTGCGGCTGCTGCTGGGAAGGATTGCTGGCTGCCTGCTGCTGTTGTTGCTGCTGCTGTTGTTGCTGTTGTTGCTGCTGTTGCTGCTGCTGTTGCTGCTTGCGGTTTCGATTGGCTGCCGCCTTGGGTCCTGTGCTGCCGGCGCTGATGAGGTTGCCGGGTGCGGAGAGGGAGCTGCCCGAGGACATCGAGGAGCTGGTGATGTCGGGCAGCGTCTTCACCAGCGGCTGCTCGGCATTGGGGGCTTTGGGTATCTTTGGCGGATTCTGCAGCAGCTTTGCGAGCATCTTGTTCTGGGTGCAGAGCTTGCTGGGCTTGTCCTCGGACCGCTTTGCGGAGGACAGGTCGTCGTCGGGCTCGTTGAGCGAGCGCTTGCGGCTCAGCGAGGGATCGCTCTGGATCTTCAGCATGGCCTTGAGGTCCTCGTTGCTCATGTTCCCGCCGGCGCCCACCCGGTGCATGGACCCATGGCCGGACCCGTGGCCTCCGTCGTTGTTCTTCAGCTGCCGCATCAGTTCGCTCTGTCGGGCATTGTTCATGGCTCCCGGCACGCCGCCCGAACCGCTGCCATCGTCATCGTCTGTCTTCTCGTTGAGAAGCTGCCAACAAAAGCGAACCATCAGAAAAGGGAACTCGGGAACTCGGGTCTCTGGCACTCTACTCACCTTGAGCAGCATGGGGTTCTGTGAGTTGCCGGCCTTGTGCAGCAGCGTCGCCGTGGCGCTTGCACTGCGTCCCATCGGCCCCATGGGTCCAAACATTCCCAGTGCTCCTCCTCCTCCCGGCTGGCCGCCCATCTTGAAGCTGCCAGCGGGTCCACCGCTGAGCTTCTCGTCTTCGCTGCTCTCCTGCTTAAAGTACTGCAAAGAATCAGGGATAAGTGGAGGGTTCATTGGGCTTATAAGGCCTTCTGGCTCACCTTCTCCTCATCGCCTCCCAGTCCTCCCAGACCGCTGGCCATTGTCTTTGTCAACAGGTGCCGCAATCGTTCCGAGGATTCCTGTTGCTGCTGTGGCACCGTCTGCTGCTGCTGCTGCTGCTGCTGCTGTTGGGAGAGCAACAATCCGCCCACACCGTTGGGCAGGCCTCCCAGCATCGCGTTGCTGTTGCTGCTGGGTCCCCCGCTACTGCTGTTGTTGCTCGGCTGCTGCTGCTGCTGCTGCTGCTGGGGATCCTTCTCCGGTTTGGTGTCGCCCGGCTCGAAGGAGTGGAAGTTGAAACCATAGTTGCCTCCGCCAGCACTGGCGTTCGACTGCGGCGATGGAAGGCTGGCGGCCGAGTGCGAGGACAGCTGGTAGGGCGTGGCCGGGGAGGCGCAAACGGCGGGACTGAAACCGTGGCCGGAGGGCGGACGCGGCGTGCTCACGGGCGTGGCAACGGAGGCTCGCGAATTGGGACGCGAGTCCGTCCAGCCGCCGACGCCGCCGCTGGGATCGATGTCGAAGGAGGAATGTGCAATGTCGAATTCGAAGGTGTCGCTGCCGTAGAAGCTGTGCTCCCCGGGCGCCGGCGAGGCGGTGAACGCGTTCACCAGGTTCGCCGCCGAGGAGCTGGACGCGGAGGAGGACCGCTGCTGCTGCTGTTGCTGCTGCTGCATTCCGGTGCCGTTGAGGATGGCGCTGCTCATGAGCGGCCCGCCCACATTGGTCGTCTGCGTGCTGTTCCCGTTGCCGTTGTTGTGCTGTCCGCCGCCCACCAGGCCGCCCAGCAGGTGTGTCGGCAGCATGCCGGAGGCCGCAGGCGAGGAGGTGGAGCTGCTGTGCAGCCCGTCCATCGAGAGGCTGTTGAGCAGGGAGCTGGCCAGCGAGGGGCCCGGCGACATGGCGCACAGTTGGCTCATTCCGCCCATGACGCCGCCGCCACCGCCACCGCCACCGCCACCGCCACTCGCGCCAGGTGCCGCTCCAGTGCTCGCACCGGACACAGATCCCGATCCCGATCCCAATCCCGATCCCGCTACCGTGTTGTTGCTGTTCATGTCGTTCTCCGAGTTGAGGAGCGTCTGCACCGACATGATGAAGTCGCCCTCGCCGGGCGTCTGGTTGAGGAACAGTCTCGAGTTGGCCTTCACATGCACGTAGACGTCGGGGGCTCCCAGGCGCAGGCGGAACGGACGCGACACCCTGTTGGATATGTGCACGGAGCCGGAGCCGGGACCACCGCTGGCGGGCGAGTGGGGGCTGGCCGAGTCCTGGATGTCGCGCAGGTGCGACTTCAGCATGGAGAGGTCGTGCGGGTGGCACAGGTCCTGCCACAGGCGACCCACCCAGGCCTGCAGGTGCTGCTTGAAGGGCTCCCGCAGGGCGGTGGGATCGAGGCTGAGTATTTTGCCGTGGATGTCCAGCTTGAAGGTCATCTGCTCGATGGGCTGCTGCTGAACGTGCTGCTGCATGTTGATCTCCAGCGGCGACTCGTCCTCCGGCCGCGTGATCAGACACAGCACCGAGCTGCTGGCATCCGCATCATCTGTGGGTGTGGGAAGGGGGTGAGTGAGGACTGGATTCAATTGGATTTAAATGGATTTTCCACTTACCCTTGACGGGGGCCGCTATCAGGACCACCTCCTCGTACTTGTCCTGCTGGCCGGACTGCCTCAGCGGCTTCTGATCCATGCCCGCCTCGCAGTTGGACGACGTCTGGGTGGCCGTTCGCGTGTCCTTGACTAGCATGCGCACCTTGGTGGAGATACTCCGCTTGGACTTGCCCGCGTTGCCCGCGTTCCCCGAGCTGGAGTTCGACCCCGCCGACTGCTGCGACGCGTTGCCGTTGTTCAGCTCATCCAGATCGCCCCAGCCCCCGCCTCCACCTCCACCTCCACTGGCTGCTGCACTGCCTCCAGCAGCAGCCGCTCCTCCGCCGCCACTGTACATGTTGTTGATGATCGGCTCTAGCTTGGCGTGATCCCCCGCGTAGAGGTACATGTAGAGGGGCTGGTGGTAGAGCTCCTGCTTCTCATAGCCGATCAGCTCGCGGATGTTCTGCGTGCAGGACTCAATGATGCCGTTGGCGTTCACCTGCAGCAGGACCCAGCCCACGCCGCTGATGTAGTGCTCGATGGCCTCGAAGTAGGCGGAGATCTCTGGCACCTGGCCGAGCAGCAGCGACGGCTCCGGCAGCGGCACCGGCAGTGGCAGTGGCAGCGGTGGCTCTGTCGAGGAGACCTCTCCCTGTTGCACCGGATGGATCGAGCAGTTGTCCGTGGCACAGCGACTGCAGCGGGGCGTTGAGGTTGTTTGTTGTTTGCTATTGTTGTTGTTGTTGTTGCTGTTGCTATTGTTGTTATTATTGTTTGTGTTGTTGTTGGTTGTCGCTGTCGAGTTGTTGTTGTTGTTGTTATTGGTTGAAGTTGAGGATATATCACGATTTTGGCCTTTGTCACAAATTTCACGATACTGCAAAAATATATAGATGGGAAGTGATAGAGAAGATTGAGGTTAATAAAGAGTTGCAAATCGATTAATAATCGATAGATCGATTATAAATGTTTGTCCGTCATGGAGCTACATCCCACCCCATATCTTTTTTCGGGTACAATTTCTTGTTCCAATTTCAATTTCAATTTAATTTATGATTATTCATTACAAATTCCGCATCTTTGTCGCGACATTATCATCATTATCATCATCTTTAGCGCAATAAAAACTTCATTCATATCAGATGCGAGCCCCAAGCAGCGATTACTCGCGGATGGGAGGGAGGGGAACCCACTTTATCATCAGAGACACTAAAACTGCAGTATTTTTGCAATGCGGAAGCCAATTCCCTTCACGAATATTATGGCACACTTTGTCGCGTAGTACAGCAACAGCAACATCCATAATTCTGGCTGTTCTGATCCGATCTGCTCCATTGTATTATTGACACAATGGAAGTGCAATAAACCTCCACTCTCGCACACACACAGTTACTGCCATTTGTATGCGTTCTCTATGCGTATTTGTGCTTTATTTTTATTCGGACACGCAAACATTTTCGCGCGCGTTTGGAGAGTCCATTGACTTTTTCTCCAGAAAATAACGAAAATCGAAACACATTTCACACTCGCATTATTCAAATATTATTGTTATTATTATTGGGCTTTCCTTTTCGGCGACTTTGATGAATTTCCAAAGCACACACACCTTTCCATGGCACGACATCCCACCACCCGCCCACCACCCTCCGATCAACAGTGGAGCAGAATGTGAAATTCAGTGGCACATTATTCAAGGTCAATCAACTTGCACTTTGCGTAGCGTGTGTGTGTTCTGGGACAAATGTCAATGGCACTTCACATTGTTTTGGTTTTTCGTTGTTTTTGTAAGGGGTCTGGCAAGGGGGGAGGAGTCTTATCAGTCAGAGCCAGGTCTGGAGGCGGTCTATGACTCAATTTTGGGCCAAAAATTACTCACTTTTAAAAGAGTGCCACAACTGAAATCACAGAAAAGAACACACAGAACAGAACACACAGAACACAGAGAACAGAGAAAACAGCGTGGAACGCGTTCGTTCAGTCACAAAGTTGCCGAAATAATAAGCGCACATTTTTTGATGCAATTGTGTTAAAAAAAAAAATACACAACAACTGGCTCGCTCGCTCTCCCTCTCTGGGAGCAATAAAGCTTCTTGGCCAAGCTATGTCAAGCCCAAAGGTACGCCACTTCAGGTAGCAATTACAAATCAATCAAGCTTTGTTCTTTCTATTTTCTCTCTCGATTATTTACGGTCGGAAGTGAAATTGAAAACAATTCTGTATTAAATTGATAGCCGTTGCTTCGAGTGAGACTGTCTTACCTCCCATTTAATATGTCTTGCTATTGGCTATTGGCGACTCTCTCTCTCTCTCTTCTCCAGCTTTTGTTTACCGGCTTGTGCCGTGCGAGAAGGTGAGCGTTTGTGTGTGTGTGTGTTTGTGTGTTATCACATTGCCTTTGCAGTTTGCACCTTATGCAGCGTGAGTGGGGTGGGGTGGTGTGGGGAGAAGAGTGAGCGGGAGGAGAATGGAGAGTATGGAGAACAAGAACAGTGGAACGACGTAGAATCACAACTATGTGAAATTGCCATAGGAGGTGCGACGTCATCGTCCAAACAGCATTTAGCATTTAAAAAGCAGTTCGTTGATCTTTCAGCCGAGTGGAAGAGGGACAGCAACAATGCCAGAACGAGAGCGAATCAGCTGAGAGAGAGATAGAGAGAGAGCTTTTAATTTCTTTGGAAGGAAGCTTCTCTGTGCAGCAAACTGTGTGGCTGTGTGTGGCTGTGTGCGACCAGGAAAAGTTGCTCCCGAGCACAAATTTCGTGCCGGGGTGAAGGCACTCCGAAAAATATCAGTCAAATGATAAAGTAAACAACAAAAGGAACAACACACACCGAAAGAGAGTACACGGCGCGTGCATTGGCGAAAATGTCTGAAACGTGTCTGGATTTTGCCTCTCTCCACCTCTCTCTTTATCTCTCTGGCTGGTCTGGTCTGTTTTTTTTGGCGGGCTTTGGCACATAGATTCTTCCCAAATTGATCGCATCAGGTAAAAGGTGAGATAAAGAGCAGCAGCAGCAGCAGCTGTGAATTTTCGGCAGAAAACGAGCAGCAGAGACAAAAAAGGGGGTTTGTCAGCAGGGTTTGTACGTGGAAGAAGGAATAGAAAGCTCGCAATTAATAAAGAAAGAATATCTTGCATGCGATGGGAATTTTTTGGGCATTGATATTCCGTATTATAGAGATTGAGATTTAAATTAAATATATAGGAACTAGACCGATGGACAGAGAGATCTTAATGATTGTATGGGAGTGTTTCTGACCATTTAGTTTCTTGTAATTAGCCCTTTTTTCTTACACATTCCCATCCAAATTTCTTTCGATATTTCATGCATCCATCTCTTTCTGCCGCTATCTACACAATTGCCAAAAATAGACCCCACTGACACCTCGCTAAGAACGTGAAATCATTGGCAGAAGATGGAGCGCATTCCGTAGAAGTAAGCGACGCGTCGCATCGCTCACAACGGGCGCCGTGGCTTAGTTGGTTAAAGCGCCTGTCTAGTAAACAGGAGATCATGAGTTCGAATCTCGTCGGGGCCTTATATAAAAACGTTGTGAAAGTTTCTTTTTTTTCTTTTTCTAATTTTAGTTCAATTTGTAGTAACATTTTGTATTATGGTGCCGTCAATTTGATTAGCGTCCCGCATGATTTCCCCCTCATTAGCGACAAAACCACTAGCTAATGCCACACACGGAACCCGTTTAATTCAATTTATTTATTACTTATGGAACTCATGTGGCCACACGGACCTCATCTGCTCATGTGCTCATGTGCTCCATGTGCTCCATGTGCTCCATGTGCTCCATGTGCTCCATGTGCGGTGTGGTGTGTGCTTTAATTGCATTTTATGGACCCAACTATAGCACGGCTCTTGTTTAGTTTTCGCCCGTATGGATTACAAAATAAAATTATGTATATTTTGTATATGGCATTTTTGCCGTCGCCGCGTTTCATTTAAAAACCCATTTGTTGGCATTGGCTTTGGCTTTTTTGTTTTGGCTTTTTGTTGGTTGGTTGTACATGTGGATGTTGGCTTGTTGGCTGTTGGCTGTTGTGCGGCAAAGCGTGGCGCTTGGCTCACAAATAATTTACATAATAAAGTGCTTAGGCTACCTGAAACCAATAAAAGAAATACACCAACAATAACTTTGCCTAAAACAACATAAAGCCCGCTGGTTTAGCCGGGTCGTCGGGGCTTTCAAACATAAATAAATTTATGTAAATTAAATAAAAATATTAATTAAATTGTGCTGCGGCGGGTTAAATTACGTCAGTAGTCAGTTGAGTCTAGGGTCCCCCGTTCGAGTCATCATACTCTCTTCGTATGGACAGTGGCCCTGCTCCTAGCCATTTCGCGAATTCTTTTAAGCTCTTTTCGGGCCGAGCTTTTAATTGCTTTTTAATTGAAACGCGTTTTCGGCTGTGTCCAAACGAAAACCAGAGACTACAGACTACAGAGAAGACTGAATGGAAATTACATGGGGGAATTCGGAGACAGACTATACCAGACCAGACCACACCAGACCCTCTGTTGCCTCTGTTTGTGTTGTAATGGATCATTTGGTATTCCGCACAGGCCAGGCGGTCTGGTCTGTCCGTCGCTCCCCAGTCACCCAGTCACCCAGCCCCCCAGCTGCAGGGTGTTATAACAACTTGTATTGCTTTCTGTGTAGTTCAGCGATTTTGGCCTTATTAGTTTCGTTTGATGAGTTCCCTCGCCTGTAATTGTGTGCCCCTGCCCTGTCCAGAGCCAGGCCAGGGAATTGATTGGGTGGGTGGGGTTTTATCGACTTACCGTTCGAACCACTTGATTCAATATAGCCGCCTTGTCCGGTTTCGTTGAGGTCATATCCCCACGCTTGTTCAGCGTTAGTATCTCCGACAACTGCTCGATATAACCATTTTCCGCCTCGCGACGCCGCTTCTCATTGTTGCACTTGTTGATTTGTGATTGCGGCTGCAAGAAAGTAGATAAATGCAACACAATTAATAATAATATTTGAAATGCTTCTAGGGAGTACTTTTCAATGAGCTTCCTTGCTGCTCAACCTATCTGCAATCAGTCTATTGGCGCAACTTCCTCAAGCTTAGCCATATTCTTAAATCTTACCGCACAGCAATCAAGCTACACAATATATGTATATATATTTTCCATATTAATTTTGATCATCACACTGACTGTTTGATTCTTTGATTATGATTGTTGAGCCTTGTCAAATTACTAAAATAATAAATTATGCAAATCGGTTCCGTGTGATGGATCATTCGGCAACTATTGGATATATGTATCCTCTTTAGTCCCCCTTCGGCTATTTATTATTAAAAGGTATTCTAGAAAGGAACTTTCTAGTTGCTTAGCCAAAAACTTACCAAATTAACCTTCGAATCCGTCTTGCGGCGTATCTTCCGGCCGGACGTCGCGGCGTTGGCTGCGCTGCTGGCTGAGATCGGCGACGCCACCGCATTCATAATGGCTGGCGAGCGTTGCAGCGCTGCTGCGATGTTGGCCGTGGCTGCGGCGGCGACTGCCGCTGCCTTGTTGTGGAGAGAATGATGAGCGTTGTTGAGGTGCTGCTGCTGCTGCTGTTGCTGCTGCTGTTGCTGGTGGTGGTGCTGCTGTTGGAAGAGCAGTGCCTGTTGCTGTTGCAACTGCTGCTGCTGATGCTGCTGATGCTGCTGCTGCTGCTGGAGCGAGAGTGAGGACGCTGTGGAGGCGCCTGCAACGCCCCCGGCACCAGCGCCGCCGCCTCCGCTCGCCGCCGTTGCGCGCTGCAGTGGGTGGGTGCCGAGCGCCAGGCCGTGGTGCAGGCCGCTCAGCAGGCTGCTGCCGCCCGCGGCCGCAGATAGGGTGACGGCTGCTGTGGCGGCGGCCGGCGAGGAGCGTGGCAGGTTGCACACGGAGATGTTGCTGCTGTTGTTGTTGTACTTGCCGCTGCTGCCTCCGCTGTGGTGGAGGCTACTGCTGCTGCTGTTGCTGCTGCTGCTGCTTGAGGTTGATGTCGTGGGGTTCGCTGTGCCTGAGGCCCAATGATCTGGTAAGTCACTTGGGCTAAGCCTGAAAGAAGGGAAATCAAATTTCAAATTAGTGCAAAGTTCTCCGAAAATTCGCGGATAGAACGGAAAGAGCGGAAAGCTGGCCCCCTGCCCCCTGCACACGCGCTGTGCAGATGGATGGCCTTGGCTTTGGGGCTTTGTGGCATTTGTGGCTTGGCCTGGTTCGCTTATCAAAATGCAAAATTCCCATGCCCATGCCCATGCTCATGCCCCCCCTCCTACTCTGTTCGCTTTCATTCTCATTTGTTTTTTTTTTTTGGGCTAATGTGCTGCCTCAATTACAGTTTATTGCCTAATTAATTTGCATTTGCGGAGCGTGAGAGACAGAGACAGCGACAGCGACAGCAGCAGCAATCAGCTGTTTTTGGGGTCTCTTTTTTTTGTGTGGTTTGTGTCTTGGGGTGGAGCGATAGTAGACGGGAGGGGGGCTTGGATTAATTGCGCATTAGGAACGAAATCGCTCGAGTGTGATGGTACGAAATATCACAGGGTATTTATTTGGTATTTTATGGGTTTTCTTGGTATTTATACAGTATGTTTTGGGTGCATGCTCCCAGCTACCAATTTCGGAGTCACAGTCTGGCAGCAGCAGCATTCCCCCCTGCTCTCTGTTCGCTCTTTGCATTGGGTGACATCTTCACTTTCGGGCAGCCACTTCAAAGGATGCCTGGCCTACGCATATGTCTGTGTCTACGTCTGTGTCTCCTTGCCTGCTTTTCTCACTCAGCCTTAATCATTTGTTAGCTGGGATTTGAGCAAACACTCAGCTGTGTGTTTCGGGGACCTGACCTCGCCGAGTCGTGCCAGTGGGTTGCCACCGCAACGTTAGTCAAATTAATGTTGTCAGTTCTGGAGCGGAGAGTGCTGGGACATTCCGGTAGAGACCGGAACAGGTCCAGGCAGCACTTCAAGTGGCCATCCTGGTCATTTTTCTTGCATGCTTTCTCCCTCTCTTTCCGTATTCTTTGGGGGGTGGTCCTTTCATGTCACATTTTATTTGTTTGCTTGATTAATTGTTTGCTTTATTTGCTTAAAGTGTGGAATAAATTGTATTTTTAGGTTTTTCGAGCGCCACTTGAGAAAAACCCCTTTGAGCTAAACATTTGCCTGAGTATTGCATCTGAATAACCGAATGACTGAGAGACGAGAGACGAGAGCCGAGACTCACTCAACCAGTTGAGCGTGCAACAGAGTCCCAGATCTGGAGTCGCAGAGTTCTGTTGCAGCTCTGAGGAGCTGCGGACCACCCGGTGGCACAACTTCTGCTTATTCCTCTTCTTTTTTAATTACATTATATGCATAATGAGACCCCTTTGCCCTTTACCATTCTCCCTTTCACCCCCTTACCGTTCTCTCTCTCTCTCTCTGGGCCACTGAGAATGGCAAGAAAAAAATAATTACAGACAGAACTCTGGACATGGTCAGAAGATGTAATCAGCGTCGACGCTAAAGAGTAGAAGGAGGAGAAGGAGTAGAAGGAGGAGGCACAATTCCAAGTGCCATGGGGAAACACACAGAGAGAGGGGGGGAATGGGAATGGGGAATAAATGACGGGCAGTTGGCCAAAACGTGAATGCAATGGGCGCCAAAATGAGTGACGTACAAGCTCCCCACACCCCCCACCCCCCTTGGTTTGGCGCCTTACGAGTGCTTCTCTCCTCCACCACGACAAGCGCCATAATTGCGGCGGTTCTTTTGCTTCTGTTGTTCGTGGGGCTGTGTACCCTCTAAAGAGGGGTATTATGATTTTGGGCAGCTGTTGGCAGTGCGTGGAAGGTAACTCTGTGAGCAGAGATTTTCTTCTTAATTCTCTTTTTTGTGTATTCCCAAAGAGCATCTGTACATTCGGTTATGGCCCCTTCCCCCCTTTTAGTTGTTTATTATTTTGACAGGGTGACACTTAAATGTGGCAGCCTGTTCTGATGATCATCCTCCCTGCCTCCCTGCCTCCTGCTGCAGACCTAAACTCGAATTTTCTTTTGGGTTTTTCTTTTGGTTAGTGCCACACAGGGCGTATGATTGACGCGCTTAATTAAGGCGGCAGCAGCAGCAGCGGCAGCAGAACAAAAAGAGCGTAAATTAATTAAATTACAATTAATGCAGCAAGTCAGTTGACTTTTTGTTGATACTGTTGTTTAGTATTTTTTGCTGTATTTTCTGCTTGTTTGTGTGTGTGTGGGGCTTATCAATTTGCACTTTGCCGCTTGGGCTTTCAATCTCCGTCCCGTCCCATTTTGTTTCGCTATTTTCGCAATTTATCGTCATAAGGCAAAGAGGCAAAGAGGGAGAGTGAGATAGAGATAGAGATAGAGAGAGAGACACAAGGTATTTATAGACAAACAGCGAAATATATTCAGAAAGAGAGATATAGAGAGACCCAATGAGAGATTCCACTTTCGCCCTGCCCTGCCCTCCCCTCCTCCCTCTTGTTTTGTGGCAAAACAAACATTTTGTCTCTTAAATGGACAATGGAACGCATTTGTTTGATCATCAGCGCGGGAAGAGACAGGGGGGGGGGAGGTAGGGGTGTTGGTAGCGAGGTGTCCCCCATTGATCTTAATGGGGCATAAAACTGAATCAGCGCCAATTTTGTTGTCGGGGCCAAATAATTAATTTCACTTTCTTCTCTCTGGCATTTCGCTCTCTTTCGCCCTCTCACAGCCACAAGATATTTCAATGTCGTGGTTTTCGCTTGGGTAAATATTTCTGGTTATTTTCCTGATACATAATATAAGCAAATATTTCTAGAGGAAAAGTGCTGCACAGAAGAGAACAAACATTCTTTAGATCACGTAGAAATGTGAAATAATTTTATTGTTTTCTATCGAAATGATTTATGGAAATAATTCCATATTCCATCAGCAACCTTATTTCGTGATAATCTGATCTTTCCACCTTCTAGATCTCGAAATTCCTACTTCCTTCCATCATCAAACCCCGACCCTGATGAAATTCCCAAACCAGAGAAGTTCGTTCCATGAATCACATCTCTTGCTGGCACCAGAGAGGGGACGTGGACGTGGGGGGTGTGGAGAATCCAAGTGTGGAGAAAATACTCGTAAATTACTCATTATATTTAATGTTGATTATACGAGTAATGTCATGCAGAGTTTTGGTATTTGTTTTTTGTTTTTTTCGTTTGTTTTTTTTCCGCGGCAATTTTGAGCTTTGACTTCCATATACGAGAGAACGACAAAAGTAAAGCCAGAGAGGCATGGGGGCCTTAGACAAATTGAGTCACGAGTCTCATGATTCGAAAGCGATTATTATGGTGGATGCTGCTGCTGCTGCTGCTGTGATGCTGCTGCTGCTGTGATGAGCAGAGTGCAATAGAAGACCCAGCATTAAATTACTCATACGCACTGTCTGCTATAGAAACCGAGAGAGAGAGAGAGAGCAGGGTTGGCAACGCTTGGGGGCAAAGCTTACAATAATTTAGCTGCTTTTTTTTGGGTTTTTTTTTATTTTTGGAAGGTCTACGTGATGTTCAGCTCGACGGCTCACGGAACGGAACTTGGAGTGAACTTTGATTATGCTTAAAATGTAAAATATATATTCAAGTTTTGCACACAATGTAAGCAATGGGCAGAGAAAATCGAACGGCACTAAGGAAATAAAACCCCTGAAAGAATATCTAAACGTGTACACAGTTTCCCACTTAAACAGCAACAGCATCCAAGTATCCAGTATCGAGTATCCATGCTATTGGCTGTAACTGAACTGCATCCTCCACTGCATTCAGCTGCTTGTTGGCCAAAATAAACATGTTGCCAATACGCCAGTCTCAATTAATAGCCAACAACATCGACAATGACAGCGACAACAGGCAACATTTTACCAACCGCCAACTTCCAACCGAGAAAAACAAAAACAACCAGCAGACAAATGTGCAATGAAAATGTCAGCAAAAATGTCTGAAAGACAAGCAGAAAACTGCACGAAAAATGGGATAGAGATAGAGATGGAAAATGAATGGCGGAGGATGTGGATGGAGTGGAAATTGTGTGTTCAAACAGGAAGGGAGGAAATGAGAGCAAAGGAGCTGCCCCATCAATGTCAGTGGCAGAAATAAAAGTTGGGAAGCAATTTCAAAACAATTTGTATCTTTTTTGCTGCTTTATTGCTGCTGTCAAGGTTTGCTTCTTAGCAATTAATGGGAAGTTCTGTGCAAATAAAAAGATATGCTGCAGCAAATGAATCGGTTTTGATCATCAACGTTCTTGGCTTCTATTAAATATTCTATGATATATTTCTGTGAGTAGAAGATTCGCCATTTCATAATCCACAGCTCATACTGAAGGTATTTTTGTAGGTGAGCCCAATTCCTGTGGGTTTCTAGAAGAAACTGCTTCAAGGAGAACTTCATCCCTTTCCCGTTTAAAGAACTTTCCTCAACTTAATTTAGTTTAAGCCTCTCTTTGGACCACTCCTACTTCCACGTGTACTTGCCATAGATGATTGACAATTTTGGATTCACTTCCGCTTGTGTCAGCATTAAATATCCTTGACATCAATTTCCGATTGGCTCTCCCAAAACTCAAATAAATATTCGTACTTTTGTTTGCTTGTTGTCGTGGCATTTCCATTGGAATTTGAATGACAAATTGTGCCGAAATGCTGATTCATGCTGACTAAATATCAGCCAATAAAAAATATACAAAATATGCGGGCTTCATGTAAGGTTACGCGTTTATTTGTGGGGGATTCCCAGCAGCAGTAGGTTGCAAACACTGCCAAAAAAACAGGCGATTGATTGAATGGTACTACCTAGAGACCATATGGGACTTTCAATTATAAATTCTGAAGGGTTCTATAATCGTTTGGTATGTGTTAAACATTTCTAAATATACACCTGACTAACTCTGCCTCTCCCCTAATTCTAAATTAAATATATTTAATTTTTTTGGCGCGTCTCTTTTGTTGTTGTTGTCTTGCCAATCAGCCTGGGGCTGACATTCACTACAAGTCTCGCCTTATGTGTGAATTTGCAGCTGTTTAATC